TGTGAGCTCCAGGGCAGCAGAGCTGCCAAGTAGTGCAGAAGCAACAAGGGCACGGATCATCCTGACGGCATCGTTTATGTCACGAGGTCATTCCCTGGCGGCTGGCCCAACCGCTACTAGGAACAAGAACGCTACTAGGAGCAAGGGCCTTACTACTAGGAGCAAGAATTAACATTAGTAGCAAAGGAATCTACCTGCAAAGTCTGCTGACCCAACCACAACAACCAGGACCCTGCAACGGTTTCTTCCACGCAAAACCTGTGCCCCGTTCGTAGCGTCCGATCGCCGTCAAATCCTAGTAGCGTCCTTGCTCCTAGTAGCGATGCCAGGAGCCCCCAGTAGCGTTCTTGCTCCTAGTAGCGATGCCCTTTGCTCCTAGTAGCTTCTTGCTACTGAATAAAAATCAACTCGACACAAAACTTGCATTTCGCAGCCCATCCTTTTGAGGTGCTCGTGGATCAAAATTGAGCCAAATGGCTATGGACCAATGATTGAACATAAACGTCATTTCCGCAAAATCGTGAGACTTGTATTGTTGCATCCTTGAGACAACTTTTTGGCCGACCTATTCCTCTTCATCTCTCTCCTGAGCAGTCGAAACGAGTGAGCTGGGTCCTCTCCTTCATGTCTTCCTTTGTCCACTTTGAGTCTCTCCCGCCTGCTGCAACTTCCACTGAATGAGCCTGAGATGGACCCAAATAGGTCAACTGGTTGGACCCAAATAAAGAACACAAAACACGACAGGTCGACACGCGCGGCGACGCGCCTCACGTTGAGCGTCAGGATACCCCCAAAGAGCAGCAGCTGATTGAAGGATCCTGAGCACAACACTGCAACTGTTTGATTTCCAACAAAAAGCCATTGGACCAGAATTGGACCACTTTGCCAAGCGCAATCAAAAATTCGTCACTGCGATCTGTTTGATGTCTGTGTGCAAAGTCTTCGAAGGAACAGGAGATCGCCAAGTGCGCTTTGAACACGCTTTCATCAAAGAGTAAGTATCCCTAAACATCTAGGAATCAAATCATTGGTGCGAGCGCTTCTTCAAGGAAGCTCCTTCCCACCCTCAGGCAGGGGTAGCTTCATTGAAGAAGCGTGAGCTATCCTGCGTCCAGCAGTTAGTAGCTATTTAAACTACTAGCTACCTCTAGCTACTACTATCGCGGCCTAACCCCCCCCCGCAGGAAAAAGACACGTTGAGCATCAGAAATTACTCTCAACATCCCGCCGGGTTCAAATCACAGCGGTTGCAACGTATTCTCCACACCATGTTTTGTGAACTGAGTTGCAGCGGTAGGCCAGGCAGTTTCTAATATGTTTGGACTTGAACGTCACAACTTTTGTTCAGTTGTGGGACAAGCGTGGCGCGGCGGCTTGGCCAAGAATTGGCAAATCGGTCGACCGAAAACCACGACGTCAAAAACGACGCTCTCAGAGAGGTTTGTCTCTCTCCGTCCCGGTCTCCCGGTCTTCCCGTCTCGCCTCGCCATGGCAATCCGTAGAGGATCGATGCCACACTGCGAGGCCTCGTCGGTCGGTCAAACGAACAATGGAGCAGAATTATTGGAAAAGAGAAGTTGAAAAGAGAAGAAACACAATTCGCTTTTCATGGTGTTTCTTCTTTCCTCTTCTGAAACAGAATGATATTTGTGTCTTGCTTTTTTCAAACACAAGGGTCGAACTCTGGAAGACCAGGCAAGCGGGATTGGCACCTGACATAATCGAAATCTGACACATGAAATCCAGTTGCGTCCGATCACTCCTAGCAGTGATGCCAGGAGCCCCTAGTAGCGTCCTTGCTCCTAGTAGCGATGCCCTTCGCTCCTAGTGACGTCCTTGCTACTTGATGCATTTTGTGATCTTTGGATTCCCGCAGAGAATGCCACCCAGTTTTCAGGCATACTGTGGCCGTGAGTGGTTGTGTGAACTGAGTGAAACACGTTGTACACACATTTTTCACATGAAGAGCGTGCAAAGCGAGAATGTTGATAGAATTTGTGTGACACCTTGTGGGAAGACAGTGTTTTCTCTGCCAAATTATGAAAGACCCACGTTCTGCATGATCAAGACATAGCAAAATTCTACTCCATCTGCATGTGCAAACACCAAGATCTGTGGGGCCTTCTCTCGGCGAACTCGAGAATTGAAATGGACACGAGGAATGGTCGCAAAAAAAAGCACACGATCTGTTTGAAAACTGCGACATTTCCAACACTTGATGTCACTTGTCACTTGTCCTCCGCCCCGTTCGCCCCGTTCGGCCTTTGGATAATCCCCACGTAGTTCACCGGTGACGTGAACACAGACACGACCGAGCTTCCGCAAGCCTCAGAGAAGAAGGAAGAAAACAACCACTTTATCAATGCGTTCAATGAATTAATTTGGTCAAAGTCACCTTTAGAACTAACTTGTCGGAGATGTCAAGGTTGCCTTTGGCCTGTCTTTCAATGCAATAGGCCAAGATCATCTCCATGGCCTGTGTGGCGAATCGTTTCGTGCCAAAAGGTTGATAACAATCGTTTCACCTCTTCAATGGCAGTTGATAACAAAGATGCTGTAAGTCCAGCAAAAAGAGACCAAAGGCCCTCCTCTCGGCCTCAACTTGGCTCATAACTGGGCTCATATCACGGACTCCATGACTCTGTAATCCGAAACGAACACAAAGCCACACAAGGCCACTCAACACTTAGTCACCTTTTCATCATTTAGTCTCCAGCCCCATCGGCACATTGACTCCCAGGAATTCTCCTTGGAAAAGGATCAGGGCGGAGAAGGGATGCTTTATGGATGCTTTTCTGATGTTTGTGAACATGTTTGTGCCTGGGCGTCCATCACGATGCTTCTGGAGGAGGCCAGCAAAATGGGGTAGCAAATCCCATCAATGCAATACTTCACAGTTAGCCTCAGCTTTGTCTCATTGATCCTGTCCCTCTTTCACCATCAAACCATCAAGCTGAATCATGCTTCTCTTTGATCCTGGATATCCTCTTATATCCTATGGTCGGCAGCTTTTACCTCAATAGCTACTAGGGTGGAGGCCATCGTGAGTAGGTTGGAGGCCATCGCTTCTAGGTTCTAGGTTGGAGGCCATCCCTAGTAGGTTGCAGGCCATAGCTATTAGAAAGAAAACACAAAAGGAAAACAGGTATAATATAGTTTGCTAGATTGGACGCCATCGCTTCTAGGCTCCAGGCCATGGCAATTAGGTTGGAGGCCATTGCTATTAGAAAAGAAATGAAAAAGAAAAGGAAGAAAGGTCTATAGTTTGCCAGTAAGGTTGAGGCCATCGCTAGTAACTAGTAGTTTAACACTCCACGGCACCGTGCACTCCGACAGGAGACCGAACGGCACGTGGTTGGACGTCGCGAGGCGTTCGGCGAAAGACACTCACCTCGTCCAAAATCTTCGTCTCTTGGAGGGCAGTTCCATCTCCTAAGCTACAAGGAGCAAAGGGCATCACTACTAGGAACAAGAAGCTACTAGGGGCTCCTGGCCTTACTACTAGGAACAAGAAGCTACTAGGGGCTCCTGGCCTTACTACTAG